GGATACCATCTCATGCGTGGACGACCGAGACAGCGGCGGAGCTTCTTCGCTCGTCATGTCTGGTGGAGAGCTTGGCGCCGGAGATTGAGAATAGAGAAGACTTGTCCCTCTTCAAGCTTCGAGCATGGTGTGTCGACCCGAACGAGGTGCCGGTGGGCAAGCGTCTCTGGGTGCCGGAGCCGGAGGTGAATGGTGGACCGGCGGAAGGTTGCCCAGGTCTCGAGCCCTGCTGGAGTACAAAACGCTCATACACATTGGGAGGCTACATGACCATGAGGGCCCGGAGCACTGGATGCGGCCGCCAAGTTCTGATGGCAGCGGCCAGAGCAGGTTGTGGGAGGACGCCGGGGATTTCTCTGGTCGGGGAGAGTGGTGCATCCTGCCGTGCACGAGGGGAGTCCGTGATCACCGCAGCAGTGCGCCGGCTAGCGGGGCGCATGGCGGTTCTTATATGCATGCCTTGATGGGGCGCATCGGGCCATCCGACTAGAGAATCCCGCCGATGGCACTTGGCACAACGGCGACGGCGCGAGCGCCCGTGGTCACCACGATGGCATCCGGGACGGGAGCGAGACGGGAGGTGGAGGTGCAAGTGGTTCCCGTGGCGCAGCCGGCCACAGAAGATTCGGACAAGGGCGGTGCGGCCACACCTACGCGTGCTACGGCGATGACAAGCCTGAGGCAGCGCGTGCCAATTGGCCCACCAGAGGCGGCTTTTGACCAAGGTGTGACCAGGGACCATGCAACCACCAATGATCGGCCGCTGCTGTTGGTGGAGACCACCACGGATCCCAAGGAAACATATAAAGAGCAGGAGGAGATTAGCTAGCCGGTGATTGAGAACGTAATCTCCGCTGATCCCGAGGAGGCTGACAAAGCTATGGAGGTGATTCGCCGGGACGCGGCTTTGGGGGATTCAAAATCTGCCAGCCCAATCACAGTGGTGGGGATAGAGAGCCTGGTGGTGGACCGGCCTGTGGGGCATGCTACTGACCAACCACTCCCTAGGACCGAGGAGGAGTCTAGGCAGGAAATGCCAGCCGCGCAGCTGCCCGACGTACCAGCGGACGGGTGGGCCCCGGTGAGGTATGTGTTGCAGCATATGCCAGAAGAAGCGGAGGTAGGTTGAGGGAGAGATGCGACAGACCTGGGGCCCAGGCTACAGGAGATGGAATCTGGCACTATAGGCGTGGATGGGACTACGTCCGTTGCATGCATGCAGGTGTCGGGGCAGGAGGGTGATAACGTGTTGGCCTGTATGGTTGCTACGCAACGCCATGAAGAGCATCTTTCAGCCAAGGAAATTGCTGCGCTGGGCAATATCAAGGCCTTTTGTGCAGGTCTGCTCAAGAAGCTTGAGCCACCTCTCCTTAAGGAATTCTAAGGGTCGAGAGGACTCAAAACAGGACAAGACCCGTTCACGCCGCGCCGCACTACACGATTGGTTTGTTCCGGTGGCACTAGGAAGACGAAGGCTTCGGCAGCAGAAACGGTGCTGCTCAAAACCCTGGGCTTTGACTGCGATGATCTGGCGGTCTCCGAGGATGCGCTAGGTCAGCTACGTACGGTCTTCGACTCGCCACTACAGGAGCCGCAATTGAGGGCCATCGCGGCCATCTTCGGGAAGTCAATACCACTCAACATAGAAGGAGAGACAGGGATGGATGTGCCTATTATGGTGCAGTAAGTGCTTAGGCATCGATGATGTTGGAGTCATCATTGACTGATGTCGTGCCACGCCTTGGAGTTAGTATGCTGGAATGTTAGAGGCCTTAACATTCCGGCAAAGAGGAAGGCGCTTAGAGGTTTCGTGGACTCCGTTCGTGCGGCGATTGTTTGCATCTTAGAAACTAAATTAGGAGTAGTGGACATTTATGTAATCTTGCAATGCTTGGGCCCAAACTATGATGGTTTTACCTACGTACCAGCGTCGGAGACTAGAGGTGGTATTTTCGTGGCTTGGGACTCCACGAGGGTACTTGTGACAAACTTTGTCAACAATGCTCATTGCATCACGAGGTATGTATCGCCATGGTGGTTAACCGTAGTTTATGGGCCGCAGGAGGATGAACATAAGATAAACTTCCTGAACGAGTTATCAGAGCGGAGATCGCTATGCCCAGGTCCATGGCTAGTGATTGGTGACTTCAACTTATACTCTATGCGGCGAATAAAAATAACTCCAACTTGGATCAGAGAATGATGGGGAAGTTCAAGCATTTTTTGGACAACAACGCGCTAAAGGAGCTCTTCTTACATGGGCGCAAATTTACGTGGAGCAATGGAACGGAGACGCCCACGCTAACTAAGATAGATCGTGCGTTCGTCTCGGTTGATTGGGAGCTTGACCACCCGGATTGCTTGCTGCAAGCATTATGTACTGAATAGTCGGACCATTGTCTGTTGTGCCTCACGCTACAAGAAGCTATGCATATTAAGAGAAGGTTCCGTTTCAAGAAGTTTTGGGTCAAAATGGACGGGTTTTTGGATGTTGTAAAGGAGGCTTGGATTTGTGATCCGGCTATTACCGACCCTTTCATGCGGCTAGATATCATGCTCCGTAACACGGCTAGAGTGCTTGTCGCATGGGGCCACAAAGAGATCGGAAATATCAAGTTGCAAATTGCCATCGCAAATATTGTCATCATGCGGTTTGACTGTGCTCAAGAAAACCGTATGCTTGCGGAGGAGAAAAGATGGCTTAGGAGAAGTCTTAAGCAGCTGGTGCTAGGGTTTGCTTCCTTAAAGAGGACCATCACTAGACAAAGGTCAAGAATAACATGGCTAGAAGAAGGGGATGCAAACACGCAACTGTTCCACTTGGTGGCAAACTGGAGGTGCATGAAGAACTATATACCTTCTTTGACCATTGAGGGGAGCATCATCACGGATCAGAAAGGCAAGGAGGAAGCTTTTTACAATGCTTACAAAGATTTGTTGGGCAAGGACGTGGCATGAGATTTCACTCTCGATTAGGAGGGCCTCGGTGTTGCTCATGTAGATCTCTCGGAGCAGGATCGTGTGTTTACCGAGGAGGAGATTTGGGCAGTTATCAAGGAGTTGCCCTCGGACAAGGCACCAGGGCCGGATGGGTTCATTGGCCTATTCTTCCAGAGAACTTGGGAGATTATTAAGGGGGATCTCTTTGCCGTGATACAGAAACTTTTCCTTGGAAATGGTAGGGGTTTTGGGAGACTAAATCAAGCCTTGATCACACTACTACCAATGTCTCCAGAAGCATGCTCTGTCTTCGACTACCGACCTATTTGCCTTGTGCATAGCATGCCCAAGATTGCTTCCAGACTCCTAACCGCAAGACTCAAACATTGCATGGGAGAGCTTATTCATGTGAACCTCCGCTTTCATCAAGGGGCAATGTTTACATGATAACTTCCTTCTAGTGAGGCAAATGGCTCGCTTGATGCATCGAAGGAAAGCGAAAGGAGTGCTGCTCAAGCTTGACATAACCAAAGCTTTTTGATTCCCTGGTGTGGCCTTTCTTGTTCGAAATGTTATGTGCCAAAGGTTTTTCGGAGCGGTGGATATCTTGGATCACTACTCTTCTGACTACTGCCAGTTTGAGAGTGATAGTGAATGGCTGTGCAGGTGACAAGTTCACGCACGCCAAGGGTCTGAGGCAAGGGGATTTGGTTTCTCCCTTGCTTTTCATTATTGCCATGGATGTACTTACGACAATCATTATCAAGGCGCATGAGGCTCGAGTGATGAGTACCATCAACGGATGCAGCCCGATGTAGCGCCTGTCCTTATATGTGGATGATGTGGTCCTTTTCATCAAACCCACAAGGCCAGACCTCCTATTCGTTAAGGAAACTCTCACCATCTTCGGAGTGGCATCTGGGCTTAAATTGAATTTTGCCAAATCAGCGGCAATCATGATCCGTGCGGAGGATGAGGATGAGGAGCTTGTTAAGTCAGCGCTACCTTGGAAGATTATCTCTTTCCCGTGCAAATATCTAGGGCTTCAGTTAAGCATAATACAACTCAAAAGATCCGAGTGACAGCCGGTGGTGGATGCGACCTTGCACATCCTATCAGGATGGCAAAGGGGCTTGGTAACTAGACCGGGAAGGCTTATCCTTGTCAACCAAGTCATGAGAGCGCGGGCCACTCAGCATCTCATGATTGTGGAGGCGCCTAAATGGGCTCTAGAAAGAGTGGACAGAGGATGTAGGGCCTTCTTCTGGGTCGGGACAGAGGAAGTGCATGGCGGCAAATGTGTGGTATCTTGGGCAAGAATATGCACGCCAAAGAACATGGGAGGATTGGGAGTCATTGACCTCTTTAAGCATGGCATTGCACTAAGATTAAGATGGGAATGGCTCCGACATACGGATGCATCTAGGCCTTGGCAGGGTCTCAACTTGACTGCGAATAAAATGGTAGATGAAACTTTTGGGAGCCTAGTCAAATGGAATGTGGGAGCGGGAGACAAAATTCTGTTTTGGAAAGCTCGGTGGCTCCAAGGTGCAACCATCACGGATATTGCACCTCTGGTCGCGGCGACAGTCCGTACCCAAGTGGCCAACAAGAGGTTAGTGCGTGATGCTATGTTCATGCACGCATGGATGAACGATCTGGTTTGTAACTTATGCACGGAGGGCCTAACCCAGTTCATCAGACTTTGGGAGATCATTTCAGAGGTGCAACTTGACGCTCAAACTGAGGATAGCCCCATTTGGGCGTGGAATGTGTCCGGAGTCTATTCTGCATCTTCAGCTTATAAGATGTTCTGTGAGGGTGGAGTCCGATTCCACTCCTTTGGTGCCATCTAGAAATGTTGGGCACCTATTGCGTCTAAGATCTTCATGTAGCTGGCAGTGCAATATCGGTTATGGACGTCGGATAGAAGGACTAGACATGGGTTACAAGATGAAACGTCAAAATGCTACCTATGTGACCAGGAGGAAGACACGGTCGACCATATTTTGCAGCAGTGTGTGTTCTCGCGGCAAGTGTGGTCTAGTTGCATTGTTAGGATGAGCTTGAGGATGGAACTATGCCCAACAAACGACTCTAGGTTGGTGCAATGGTGGTCAGAAGCCAGAAAGCGAATACACAAGAAGACCCGAAAAGGATTTTACACATTTGTAATGCTTATCTGCTGGACATTATGGAAGCAGAGGAATGCGAGGGTGTTCGGAATGGGCCAGATCAAGAACGAGTGGGATACGGTGGACATGATCTTCGACGACTTGAGGAATTGGGCCACGGCAGGAGCGCTTGGAGGACAAATTGTATCTGAGTAGTAGAGTAGCATGAGGAGTGGGGTGGAGGCTTGGTTAGGGTCGGATTGTGACTCTTAACCAGCGCTATTGTAACCTCTTGTACATATTTTCTTTCTTCTATAAAGCTATGGTACGCCTTTGGCATACCCTGAAAAATAAAGAATATACAGCTACTGCCAACCAGCAGTGTTGTTCTCACTACGGTAAAATCCAAGGCTGATTTGACTGCTAGTACTGCTTCCACATGAAAGTAGACTGCTAGTTCAATTTTTTGTTTTCCATTCAATTGCCACGTGCACACCAGGGATACAACCAGATCGGATTAAAAAAAATACAACGACCCGGATTGGATGGAGTTGTGGGCATGGATTCTTTCCACCGCCGCAGCGGCCATTGCTACATCTCGAGCCCGCTTCCAAGCTGCCCTTTGCCGGTGCTGTGGCCATGGCCGCAGCCCGGACCGGATGCGCCTGGCCGGCCTGCCTCTACCAAAAACCGCCTCTGCTAGCCTCACTCCATGACCGCTGGTCTGCAATAGCCGCCGCTTCGCTCCTCCTCGGCCGCCTCCTTCGCCGGTCGCGCCTCGCCTGTTCTGCCGCTATGGCCAAGCCGCCAAAGGCCGAGCCGCCACTCAAGAGCCGCCCTCGCGCCGACTTTTGAGCTGCCATTGTAAGCTGCCTCACCTTGAGCTGCCGGCCCCGTCAAATCGACATTGCCTCGTCGGCCTCGTGCCAAGCTGCCGCAACCGCGGCCATGCCACGTTAAGCCATCGTTAGTGTCAATCGCGGCTCTGAACCGGTTCCTACTACCATCTCCACATTGTTAAACCGCCGGACTTATCTTTGCCTTTGGGCTGATTCTGTCTTGAGCTGCCGCTCTCAAATTGCTGTTGCGGCCTACCTTTAACCATTGCGGCCTTGTTAAGCCAGTGCGGCCACGGCCGGCTGCCCCCAAGCCGCCTCCGTTGTCGCACCATAAGGGCATGTACAATGGTTGATAAGATAGTCTTATCTCAAGTCTTGCATGTAAATTAGAGATGACAAAAAAACATGTCTACAATGGGTCATTTCTAAGCCTTATCTTCAATAATTAGTTGTTCCTAAAAACATGGTGAGACAAATTGTGCTAAGAGATCATCTCTTGTCTTCTCTTAAATAAGAGAAGACAAGCCTTATCTTACGATTTCTCTCTCCTCCATCTCATCATTTATCCTACGTGGCACTCTTAAGGTAGAACCATTGTACATGCCCTAAGTCAATCCGTGTAAGAGGCCCAAGCGATAGCAACGCTGGTGGGTCTGATGATAATATCTACAGTTTTAAGAGGATCTAAAAGATTTTGCACCTCGCGTTCAGCTCCGTCCATGTCTTGTCTATTAAAAGGATGGTAATACTGTAGTTCATGGATTAGCAGCACTGGGAAAAACAAAGGAAGCTAGGAACTGATAGAAAATGTGCCTGATGAAGCTCGCTTTCTGTGGCTCGTTGATTGTGTTCATAACTAAGGAAAAGGAACAAGGAATGGGCTAGTTTGACTGCCCAAGAAAAAAAATGATGACCCGGAGGGTCCATGCTAAGCCGCCCGGTTCCAGGCTCCGCCACGATCGTGCTTCAAGACCGTCGCTTCCCCTATCATCACTGTGACCTCATGCCGAGCCACCCCGATCGGCCTCGTTCTGAGCCACCGTGTTTTCACTTGCTGTGGTTGATGCCCATTTTGCAAGGGTAATGGCTAAATTGCCATTGCAAGTATTGAAAATTGCTCACGGAACGGGTCATCTATCATCCAGACAAATCAGGTGAATTCTGTCTGGTCAATATTTATTGATTCATTTTTTATTCTTTAAAAGAACAATTACTCTGGTTTGTGATATTTTTTGATGCAGGACAATTGTTCGCTGCAAGAGCGATGGTCGTGCCATGGATATATAGCTCACGCCATCATTATCATGAGTTAGCATCAGACTGTGCCATGATGCTCATTGAATATATATGTGCAAACTGCCGCCTCTGCGGCCTAATTTACGTCAACATGACGTGGCTGACTTGCCCGTCCGCACGGCTTACTGTGCCTACGATTGACTCGCCCGTCCGCACTGGCTTACAATGCCACAGTCGACTCATCTATCTGTGCCATCTCTGATGTTGCGGTTGACTTTACCATCCGTTTCTTGCGGTCTGGTCTACATCAGCTCATACGGGATCATTTATAACCTGCCGAGCTTCAACATATTCTAGCGTTCCGCTATTCAACTATATGCCGGTTTATATCACGGTCAAGCATGGGGAATCTCAAGCCAACTCATCGAATCATCTTGAGACTCGGGGGCTACATGGACATGACTCAGCAAATGTTGCCAGTTTCAGCAAATTCAAGAGCCCCGGTCATTGGAGGGAAAAATAACACGGCCTCGGAGGCTACTGCCCTATTGGTGAAAATTAAAGGCCGTCAGAAAATTCTCGGTTTAGAAAGAAAGATTCCGGTTCAAAATCCGGTTCAAGGGAAATCTATCTCCCGCAAAGCTTTGAAGCTCTTAATATCCGGCTTAACATCCGGTTCAAGAAGAATTCATCCCTCGCAAGTTCGAGTTCTCAAAAAATTAAAGGTTGCCAAAGAGAACTTGCTGCCATGATGCGCGGTTCAAACATGAGTATCCTGCCTTATGGACTTATCTTATTGGTCATTTGGGAGCTTCCTGCTCATTGAGCATAGCTAGGATTATCCTCTTGATCCGGCTTACACACCTTGTTACAAAATACATGGGGGCTTCCTACTCATTGAGCATAGCTTTGACTACCCTTTGATCCGACTTATACGCCTGATTACCCACAACTTGGGGTTTTATGCCTAAGTTCAAGGTTACCAAAGAGAACTTGTCACAATGTACAGTTCAAACATAGGTAACCTGCCTTGATGATTTGTTAAATATTACTTGGGGGCTCCCTGTTAATGAACAAAGCTTTGTTGTCCCTTGTAATAGGCTTGGACGCTAGGTGTATTCACCAAAAATCTGGGTTATCCTGCCTTTGTATGCTTGCCACTCCGACCAGGTAATCCTGGAATGACTCGTTGTACTCTTGACAGTCAAATCTTATAAATACCCTGAACTTGTCAAAGTTAAAATAGTGATTGGTCATGTGAGGCCCGACTTACAGGTTTGAATTAAGGATTAACTTAGTGGTTGTGCGGCCCTTGAACAGCACTTGATATTGAGGCTTGGCGGCCTATGAAAGCCTTGTTTTTCTGGTTTGTTATTTTATTTGAACATTGTTTGGGTTCATATTTTTTGTACCATATTGACATATGGTTTAAAACGATTCAGGCCATGTAGCCTTAATCCTTATGGCTCGTAGTTGAGCGTATTTGGAGGTTTAATAACCCGGTTTGGCATTGGACGTTAAGTCACCAGTATGATGTGATTGTGCACTTGGAGTTTTGCGGTCTAAGTGTCAGAGTAATGGGCCACGGGTAGCATCACCCGAGCCCTTGAGCCTTTCAAGACTTTGGGCCGGCTTCGCCCCACAAGACCTCTTACTGACGTGCCGCCTTCCTGTGGCCGGCTGGCTAAAGGGCCGGCTACCCGAAGACGGCCAAGCACCAGTAGACGGCACCAAGACCGGCCGGCTCCTAGAAGACGACCTCTGGAGAGGCCGGCGTCTAGCAGGCGGCCACACGGCACCCTCAGAGTTTGCGCCCTCATCAAGAGGACAAGATAGGGTGAGGCTACAGCGTAGTCCCTCACCCCCGAATTGTGGACTTGGCGTGGCCACAGTACCCCGTACGGGCAGAGATCTCCGCACGGTGCGGCACTGTTGCCACTCCCCCCTTGACGTCACTCCCGACAGACGGAGTCCTGTTCCCCACGATGACCTATCGGTACGGCCTGCAGGCGGCGGGCCTACCAGGCAGCGAGAGCCCGGAAGACGGCAGAAGCCAGACCAGCCAGACCTGAGGGAGGCCGGCTTCCACCAGGCGGCCAGCCCTCCCTCGGGGCCCATGCGCCATAAACCAGATAAGAAGTGGTGTGGCTACAGTGATCTCCCACCAGGTGGCGGGGCTGTAGCCACACTCAGCTGACCAAGCCCGCGTCATTAACAGCATGGCTATAGTGAGCGGCCACCAACCAGACCCGCCGGCGGCGGGAGCGGCCTGTCGGCTCCGTACCGGACCAGTCGGCGGGCCCCAGTAGTCGGCGAAGAAGCCGGAGACCAGAGACACTAACATCCGGGTCCACCTCCCGGCAAGATTACCATTGTACCCCTGGGGGGTAGGCCTATATAAACCCCCAGGGCATCCTGGCAAAGGGTTCCCACTCCATTGGAACTAGCCACTACCCTAGAGCAGGAAGAGAGCTAGCCTTGCCTCCTTCTGCCTCTAGCACACAGCTCAAGGAGCACCATTGTATCACTTGTGCCTTAGTGATCACGCGGAGACCCCGCAGAGCAGGACTAGGGGTGTTATCTCCTAGGACATCCCCGAACCTGGGTAAAGTGCGCCAGTGTACGTGTTTACGCCTTATCCCGCTTCCAGGCACCGGCGACGTTCTACTTGCTCCCACCATGATAAGCCATCCTTTGGCATATGTCGCGCCCAACCCCCGACATTTGGCACCCACCATGGGGCGAGGTGCACCATCTCCCGGATACCTGCTCTGGACGGGAACCTTGTTCCTTCCTGGCGAGCAAAGCCAGCCCAGCACACCCGACAGCGTCAGCCTCGACGCGTCGCATGGCGCGGAGATCGCCTGCGCGGCGAGCTGCCTCGTCGACCTTGTTGGCGAGATCCACCTCTCCGATGAGCCAGCCTCTGACGCGAGAACCGACTGCCCTGAGAGCCGCCTTGTCAGCCTCCTCGATCAGCTTCACATCACCAGCGAGCCTGCTATAGACCTGGAGTCCCTTGGCTCCACCGACCCGATGATCGTTGATTCCGACACGGCGTCGCTTGACGCATTCCCCACCAACGTGGTGATCTACGACGAGCCGCCTCCTCGCGAGCACAGCGGCGGGAGCATCGTCACG